ATCAACGCAACAAGGGGGTCTGTCACATTATTCTGGCCACTACACTGCAAGACTGACATAGCATGTACAACGATGGCAGCAAGGGTACGGTGCAGTGGCTGCTGATTGGCCACTACCTTCAGATGGGTACACTTTCCTCCTTGTCTATTGAACACCAGATCTTTAGCCAGTCCCTTTATAGTAAAATTGTGAATTAATTATTAGACATAGTGGATGATTTTTGTGAGTAAATTACACATAAATGGCAATAATTTTCTGAAACAGTCAGTCATATACATGTATTTATTGGCATATTTCAGAATGTTAACTTCAATAATTTTTACTGTTCACGATTTCAATACTAATCTAACACATCAAAATTATCTTACAAAACAAAAAAATCATTCACTCACTTCTTTCTGTATAGAGTTACTTTTCTCTATAAAAGTTACCAGATTCTGAGCGACCTGGAAGATAAGAATAGTTTTAAAATTATCATCTTCTTCAATCTCACCACTATCAACACCTGTGTTCAGTGATCTCAATCAAGCATCCAGCACATCACAAGCTGAACAAAAATAACGTATACCATATTGGCTCTATTAGAAGCACATCTCTAATGAAATGCATTTCAACCAATTGCAAAACTAATTGAGTCTTTACCATCGCTCTTAGACACTATTATACCAAGGCTTCTTGGAATAATTGGTTTTTGATATTTACGTAGAAAATTATTATGCCAATTAAGCAATTATCATTCATAGTTTTCAACCAAAAACCAATTAGGTCTGTGCATTGTTCCAGAGCACATATGTAGCAAGTTTCATTATGTGATAATTAATTTTTAGAAAATTGGTGGAAAGAGAGAGTAAATTATTATGCGATTTAGGTAATATAGATGTATATAAACCAAAAATTAATTAAATTGTTGCATTGTACGTCTTAGAGTATTTAATAATTATTTACTAAGATTCATTGAAATGTGATTAGAACTTGATATATCATTGGAACCCTAAGCTGGGCAAAACGTATGTACAAGTTTAATTAAATATTAAGATAAATTATATAAAAAACATCCTCGGAAGTTGGTATCTGTATTTTTAAATAGTAATGCAAGTACACATTGGTCTCTATGTCAGTGAGCAACATTCTGAATAACTGTTGTGAAACAAACAAAACAATTCCAGCAGTGTAGCAACATTTAGCACAATATTAATTGTCACTCAAGAAGAAATGGTAACGATAGTAATTGGAACTCTGCGTATTCACATGCACTGTAGTATGGAAGTATAAAATGAATACCTGATCATCTACTGGCATTTGTGTATTGGCGTAACTCATGGTGAATTCTCTGTAGATAGCCAACATGAGTAAGGCTTCCTTGTATTCTCTTTTCTTTGTGCATCTCTATAAACAATTTAATATTAACACATGTAATCATCACACAATACAATGCTTTCAATATGGCACATTTTTAAGTAAAACTAATAATTCATATTTTTCTTTCTCAGAATCTGAAAATTATACCTTGATGATTTCTTTCACTTTCTCAAATCGTCCATCCAGCAAAGCCGTTGCCATAGCTTCTCGTAAATCTTGATACACTTTTCCACAAGTGACAAAACGGTCAGGTATAACTTCAACCTGAAAATAGGAGGGAAACTTTTTTACTTTTGTTTAAACTTAACTTGAAATTAGGTTAAACACTTCTAATATCAGAGATTTAAATGCTAAAAAAACGACACATTAGACAGGATTGTCGTTTGAAGTGGGGGAAGTGAATGTCACACTAGGTGTCGTTACATGTAACCTCATTGTGACCTTCAAAAAACGCTGAGTTTCATTATGAGGTGGCCATGTATGCACAGTGGCTTAGCAGCGGGCATTGTAGGCACCAACCCCATGACAGAGATCAAGATATATTTGGCTTGTGTCATGGTAAGAGCAATGTGTTACCTCAACCAGAGCCAGCAAGCTCTGTGTAGCGATTTCCAACACTGTGTTTATTGAAAAGAAAACAAAAAATATCAATTTGAAAGTACATTTAGCATATACATTGAATTACCAAACAATAATTGAGAAGGAGGTCAGGTGGTCATCAAGCTCTATTTGTAGAGCAACATAGAAGTTACAAATTGTCACCATATTACAGGGGTAAGTGTAAGTTCCACGCTAATTTTAATACCTACACCTACTTATATTATCGGAAAATCGAATATTTCACAAGTCTAGATCATTTTTGTTCTAGTTCTGAAGAGATATGTGCACAAACTCACTACTGCACACAAGCTACAATGTATATCTGTATATATATTTCATAAGTATGACAGCAGGTTCGGTCATGTTAAAATACCATATACAATGTGTTTACTATTCACCTGTTGTTGAGCTTCTGGAGGGGCAATCCACTTCAGATTTGGATTCGTCAGCAGACCGTGCAAACAGTCAATGCCATATCTACGACATATCTGTTTTACAAGGAACACTCTTGGCCACTTAGATCCACAACTTGTGAAGAATTTAGCTGTAATATCAAGTAGCTCTTCAGCAAGCTTGAATTGTGTTTGATTTGCATCAATCTCCATTTGATTTCTTTGACGGCTTCCACCAAAGAATTTGTATATGACTTCAGCAGCAGTGACAAGTCCAAATCTGACACCAGCAACTGACTGTAACTGTGTTACACCAATACTGCCTTCATCATGTTGACTTTGTTGAATAGAATCTCCAATTTTTGTAATAGCTCCTCTCAGTATAGCAAGTGTGGCATCTGAGCAGGACTGAACTGATTGATTATGGTATGAATCCTGTAGGAAAAAGAAAAGTCTTTAATTACCTTGATTGGTTTTATTTCTTTCTGGAATACATGTCTTAGAACACAACAAAAGGTAAGATACAGATATGATTTTTCAGCAGTGATATTCTGGGAGTATGAGGTTTACTTGAATTCACCTACCTCAATGCACTGGATGCACAGTAAGCAAAGTTCAATGATCTCTGCTTTAGACTTCACCAAGTGTCGTGCAGTATCAAAATATTTTTGCAAGTGGACATAAACTTGACAATTGCTAGTTGGAACAAAACAGGTACAAATAATTTAGATTTAGAATTAATTCATGCATCATATCGCTGGCATTTACATTCAATAGAATCTCTACATCAATGACATTCAATAGATTTGCAATATTTGTCAATGAAATTTAGTGGTTATCATATTGTCAAATGACACAAATGATTTGCTATATCATTCAATGACATTTCTATATGATTGAATAAGATTCAGTGACATTCCCATATCATTCAATAACGATCAATGGATTTCCTGTATCATTCAGTGAGAAGTATAATACAGTAAACAGGAATTGCAATTCTCATAAAAATTAATCCATTTATTCTGTACATCTTTTTTTCAAATGTTACCTACTTCTTGCTCATAATGAGACTTTATAATATTTATTATATTATGTATTTAGAGTTAACACAATTCCAGTTAAATACTTAAGGTTTTTGATAAATGATTATTCACAATGTTTGAATATAAAAACACATAAATCCTTTATATCTTACCTTGATATAAGTAGTAATTGTAATAAGAATTATCTGACAATAGGATTTGCATCAATACAATCCTCTATGAACGGAGTAAATCCTTTATATCTTACCTTGATCTAAGTAGTAATTGTAATAAGAATGATCTGACAATGGGATTTGGATCAATACAATCTTCTATGGA